AACTAGAGTGGTTATGCAGTTATGATGTAATGCTGCATCTTTATATTTGTTTATGTTTCTCTGAACTGTGAATTACGTGCATTTTCTTAACTAAACCTGTGTAGTCTACATTTCTGTGCATACTTTTTTTTTTTTATTTTATTTAAGGAGAAAAGAAAAGAAAGAAAAAAAAACAGTGAAGGGGTACAAGTTATACAGATTTACAGGAGAAAAAAATGCGCAGTAGGAAATCACTAGTTAATGGATTACATATTGCCATCTTAGAAATAATTGTTCAAGTCACAAAATCAAAGCTTGTAGAGTGGACATTCCAACAATAATACTGCAAACAGTTCTGTTCAATGATCCAATAAAACTCTGTGATATCATTTTCTATCTTATACATTTAAATATACATGCAGTTATACAGTTTAGAGCACTTTCTTTTCCTCTCTTTTGTACAATGACTATTACACATTTTGGGTTTCATTGCTCCCACGGTTCTTATTGCTTTATTGGAAGAGAGTAAAACCAAATGTGACATAACAGAACAGAATCGGTCAAGTCAAAAAGGTGGACATAATAGATAATATAAAAACATAATACAAGGTGATCAACAATGGTTACCATAATGCCTCCCGCTATTTCTAATAGAATTGCCTATATCATTAGTTGTTATACAATTGAACAAAACCGTAAAGAATAAAACCGACAAAACCAAAACATTGGAGATATTGTAGGTCTTCAAAAGTAGATAAAAGTCAACGAGAATGGGCGTTATAATGAATCTCATTATCTTCTCAGCTGATGCCTAAACTTTCGAACCTGATACTATCCAGCAAAACAGAATAGAGGAACCTCAGTCAAAAACAAGATGGTGAGAGTAATACAGGGCTTCAAATTGAGATAATAGAAAGTCAAAGTGGGTTACTATATTATATCCTGCTATATTTTTCCCTTTAATTAAATGGATAAAAATAAAAAAGTAAATAATGGAGTGGAGATTGAGAAAAAAGAGGGCATAACAGCGAAACAGGGCAGATCAAAACATAACCATTTAAGCAGAATAGTGTTTCACCACCAGATAATCCTGACCCAAAAATAGTTACCATATTGACTCCCTCCCTGAAGTCCTTGAGTACAACTTCATATACTGTAGCATTAAGTATATCAAAACAATGTAAAACCATTTAAGAGAATGACAGCATTATAGAGTATTTAGAATCGACTAACAGAAAATGAACAATGGTCTCTGTATAATCTCCTTGTCTTTAAAAGGTTTTTGCTTATACTATCGTACATAACAAAATCCAATAAGATACAACCTGTTTAGACCATTGGAGACAGAAGAACAAAAGCTAGATGAGACTTTAAAACAAGATGGTACTAAATCAGCATTACCTATTAAGATGTCATTTTCTCCAAAAAAAGCTGTTCCTATCATCCAATCTTCTCTGTCTCATTTCTGTTGAGCTCTTTTTCTGTCAGTAGCTGTCAGTTTGTCTTCTTCATTTTGTTCTCTGCTCCATTCTTTGTGGCCTCCCCGCCACTATTTCTGGGTTCTTTGTATTTTTCTTTTTTTAGAATATCCTGCAATACTTTCTGTAGGGTTGAATTGGTGGTTGCAAATTCCCCCAGTTCCTCTTTATCCTGGAAGCACCTCGTTTTTCCATCAATTTCCAGGGACAGTTGTGCAGGATATCTCAATCTTGGCTGGAGATTATTATCTTTCAAAGCTTGAATTATTTCTCCCCATGCTCTTCGTGATTTGATGGTTTGTGAAGAGAAATCTGCTGTAATTCTGATGGGTATTCCCTTGTAAGTGATCTGTTTCTTGTCTCTTACAGCTTTTAATATTCTGTTTTTGTATTGAATTTCTGGAATTTTTATTATTATATGCCTGGGTGTTTCTCTGTTAGGGTTGTAGGTAGCTGGGGTCCTGTATGCCTCATACATCTGAGTATCTTTACCTTTTGCTAAATTAGGAAAATTCTCCTGGATTATTTCTGTGAGTAGCTTTTGTAGTTCACTTGTTTGTGTCCCTACTTCTTCTTTTATGTTCTTAATCCTTAAGTTATGGCTCCTCTTATCATCTTCTTGTCTTTGTATTATTGCTGTGTGTTTCTTTGTTATTTTTAAGTAGTTTTTCATTTCATTCTCCCATGTTTCAAGTCTGCCCTCCAATTCAGATAGTCTGTCCTTAGTTTCTTTCAAGCTGTTATGCCAGTCTTGGGTAGACTTCTTAATTTCTTGATAGTCCCTTTGCACCTGCTTCACATACTCAATGCTTTCTCTGTTTTCTCCATCAAGCAATTCTCCCCTCTTTTTCTGTTCTTCCATTCCACCATCTGCTTTTTCCTGGGTGGTGCTTAGCATTTCTCTAACTATTCTGCATACTTCTAGCTTCAGGTCATTGATAACTTCATTCCTGAATTGGTCTATGAGGCTCTCTAAATGGCGCTTAATGTATATTGGTGCAGTGTCCACTATTGCCTGATTCTCAGGATTGGGGGCCGAGGAGCCTTTTTTGTTGCTTCCCTTCCCCATATTTTCTGTTCCTTATAAAATGCAATCTTACACAGGAGGCCCGGCTTCCCTGCCTGTCAGCCACAGCCTGATCAAATTGCGCTGGCTAGTTGTTCCCGCCCACCGCTGCGCCCCAGGGAGCCGCGGAGGAGGCAGCCTACGCGGGAGTCGGTCGCTCCTCCAGGCCACCGTCAGGCTCTGGGATCTGGGTTAGGCCAGCCTAGGGAGTCCGCCAGCAGCGTCACTCAGGCCAGGCACCTTTCACCAATCCCGTCCGAGAGGGGAATGTGTGGCTGGAGTTGTCACCGCGCCCTGCTCTTACAGGACTGCCCGAGCCCAGAAAAACCTCCGCTGGAGTCAAACTGTGGTAGGGGATCAGTTTCTTGCTCACCTCGCCACCAGTCAGTTTTCCTCCTTGTCCGTCCTGTTTCCGACTCCGTTCGCAGACTCCCGTTCCCGAGCTTCTGCGCGTCTCTCCTTGCCGAGCTGCTGTGGAGGCAGCCAGCCGCCGGGCGGCGGGAAATCCAAACCGCGGTTTCCAATGGTGCGGGGTCGAGCCTCCACACCAAGATTTTTCTGTTCCTATTTTAGCGCCAGGACTGTATTCTAAGTTAGATTCTCTCAGCCCAGTTCGTTCCTGAGTCAGCAGAGCATATCTCTACTGGTTCGTATCTCCTTAGTCCGCATCATTCCTGGCCTCTGAGCCGAGCCTTTAGAGAGCCTTCAGTAGCTGCTGCTGTCTGTCCGCCATGTTCTCAGGAAGTCCATCTGCATACTTTTGATAAAATTTAATTTTTTATACTAGGTATTTATGGTGGTAAATGATACTGTTATTTACATATATTTTATGCATTTGTGACTTACCTTTTTCTTGAATTTTCATTATTTGTAGGCTGCAGGGTTCAAATGCTAGCTTTTTTCAAATTCTTGCAAATCAAAACAAACAAAAAATAAAGGATCTATGCCTGGGTGGACCTGTTAGTTCATACCTGTGTCACACAAGGTCAACTTTATTTCCTTATATTCTCTTCACTGTTTTGCACGGTGCTTCAACAAATTGTCATTTCCCAGTACAGAATGCCAACAAGCTAGGCTGGCAAGAACCAGAAGAGGAGGTGAAGTCACCTAGTGGTAGACTGGGATTTTGGGCCAGGCCAGTAATAAATTTGCTCTAGGAAAAAATGTGCTGTGTAATGTGGTGTTAGGATTCTTTAGAATGCGTTTCTTTTTATGGATACTCAGCTTATTAAAAACGAAGCTGTTTTCTGATACCATTCATTAGTGGCGAAGCAATACCTTTATTTTACTGTATCTGGCTCTGCTCTGCCACAAGGTCTTGGTGAAGCTGAGTTTGTAGGTTTGTGTGGTTTTCAGGCTAGATGGGACTAGAGCATGCAATAAATTATATATATTATGTGAAATAGTTTGGATTTAAACATTTGTGATTTAAAATCATTGTTACAGATATTATTTAGATCCCAATAACTTGGAGATGAAATTATACAGCTAATAACTGAGTTAAAGATTACTTCAGCACTATCAGTAGTGAGTAAAAAGAGGATTTTCTAAAGCATTTTATGCTGCAAAGAGCTTGCAATGGAAATATATAGCATATGTGTAAACATGTTCTCTTTTGCCTAGACCTGTTGATATGGAAGCAGTAGTGCTATTATGGGTATACAGTGATGGTTACGTTGCTTATGACATTTCTTTAAACCTTAGATTGTATCTTCTTGAAATAATTTTTTAATTTTAAAGAGGATAAAACTAAGGAAAGTAAAACAATAAAACCAATCAAAATAAACCAATATAAGTGATACAGGACTTCAAAGCCTTGTGAAATCAATAATAGTTACCATAATGCCTTTTGTTTTCTTCAAAATAGCTGCAGATATTTTCAGACATAATAAAAAATCAAACAAATAGAAACAATAAAAACAAAACAGTGAATGCAACAAAGGACTTCAAAACAAACCAATAGTAAACCCAAAATGGGTACTGTAATATGTCTTGCTATCTTTTAACTAGCTGCTCATGTCATCAGATTTAACATAATGAAACAAGACAAAAGAGAATAAAACCCAACCCAGTAAACAATGATATGATTTCCAGACGGGATCACCTCCTTGTGGACTTGACTGTTTCCCCGGTCAGTCCACCAATGGTGCTGATTCATGGAGAGAGACCTGGGTATGGCTCTCCCCACTCAAGCAGTGGCCTGCACATAATGTTGCTTTCCAGGTGGGGATCACCTCCTTCTGGGTCTGGTTGTCTGAAATAATTTGTTTTTAGTGTTGTAAAATTTATTATTTTTGTACCTAAAGAAAAAAATTTATGATTTGGTTTCTTTTATCTGTTTAATCATGTTTTAAATACCAAACTAGTTTTAAATGTTTGCTTTTTGAGTAAGTGTAGGAAATAATGAATTTGTTGAGTATATTCTGTATATTGATTAATATAATCCCTAATAATCCAGTGTTCCTTTCTATATATAGGCGTCATTCCAGCGCTCTAATAGTCATGATAAAGTAAGGAGAATAGTTGCAGAAGAGGGTCGGACAGCAAGAAATTTGATAGCTTGGAGTGTTCCGCTGGAAAGCAAAGATGATGATGGTATGTATTAAAAATTATTGAATTTTTGGGGCTGGGGATTTAGCTCAGCGGCATAAGTGCCTGCCTTGCAAGCAGGTAGTCGTGAGTTCGATCCCTGGTACCAATAAAAAGGAAAAAGACAAAAAAATAATTATTGAATTTTTGTTGTAAATTGGAAAGGTAGCATGGTGTGGTGCTGTGTGCATGTAGTCCTAGGTACTCAGCACGTGGAGGTGGGAAATAGTAGAGTTCAAGGGCAGCCTGGGCAACATAGTGAGACTCCATCTCAAAAACAAAACACAATTAGGATCACAATAGATCGAAAATTCAGTGTTCACATTTAGAACTCTTTGGCAAATTAGTATAGAGTAAATAAAATATTTTTATTGCTTTTGTATGCAAATAGTTTAATAAGTGTTATTAATCTTGCTGTTTCAGGTAATAATGAGATTGGGTTTGTTATATTATGGTTGACAGATTAGGGATTTAAATACTTATAGTATACAATTTATTGTATGTTTTACAAAGAACTAAAGCAGTCATGACAAACCTTTTAGAGTTTTCAACAGTACAAACAGCTCCCTGTGGCACATGTGCCATAGGTTCACCATCACTGAATTAGATTGCATACTGTAATTCAGTGGTACAAAGATGCATAGCGCATACAAGGCCCTGGGTTCAGTCACTATCACTGGGAGAGTACGGGGCAGGATGGGAAGAGAAAACCCCAAAAGATTGAAAGAGAGGAGTTTAAAGGTTTCCAACAGAAAGAAATGATAAATACTTGAAAAGATGGAAATGTTAATTAGGCATTTTGTACATATATCCCATATATATGTGCAGTTATTATGCATCAAAAATAAAAGTATTTTAAAAAATTCACTACAATACTATGGTTAGTACAGTTTAACACGATCATTTTTAAAGTAAGAGCTCTTTCTTCAGTTCTCATTCATAATTGAAATGGACTTTTTTCTTTTCTTTAGACTCCTCCCTTTGATGGCTAGGGCCAGGATGATTCATATACCAAATGAGGCCTCATCTTGAAATTTTCTGATGTGTATATATTTATAAATTTAAATTTGTGTGAACTCATGGCTTGTTGTATTTAATGTATTAATCTATTATTCTTTTTATTTTGATGCTCAGACTGTTCTGTATTTGTCTAGTGAATGGGAGACCCTTACGGCACCTTATTCTTTTGATATTTTTTGGAAATCATTCTTCGAGAGCATCCTTATATAACAGATGTTCTAAACTATACAAGAATTTCCCTGGGCTGGAAGTATAGTTCACTGACAAAATGCTTCATGCATGAGTGCCTGGGTTGAATCCCTTCTGCCACAAAAAAACCAAAACCCAAGAAACCACCCATGTTTTGTTCTTTTTAAAATTTATTTTGCTTTTACTGTCTTTTACATTTTATTTTTATTCAAAAATTTATTTTATCTGTTTATATCTCTGGTGTGTTTATAGTTTATTCTTACATACCTTAGATCTAATTCAACTATTTCCCTAGTGGCTAACAAGTCACCCCAATATCACTTACTATAAAGTCTCTTTGCCTCAGCTGTATGAGATTTCACCTTGTCTGTAGATTGAATTTCCACATGTACTTCTATTACACTATCTGCTTATTTAACTCATGTATGAATACTATCCTGTTTTAATTGTGGACACATTACAGTATTTTAAAATATTTGTTTGGACCAACTTCTCCTTACAGATTGTCTTTTTTTGAACTCTTTTTAAGACAGTTATTTTAAATCACAAAAACTGTCAAATAGGTAATTAACTTTATCTTTTGAAATTCAGCTCTTTACTGAGTAATCTTTCCAAAGGAACTTGCTGTTGCTTTTTTTTTTTGATAAAACATATCAGTATTTACTTACTACATAAGTAAAAAAATGTTGTATGCTTCCTGTGTACTATAAATATTATATGAAGTTTATTTGTCCCATTTTTGTGGGTTAATTTCAAAATACTCCAAAGGTATTTTTATTTTAAAAGTTTAAAAGTTTTTATTAAAATAGCATAAAAGAAAATATAATGAATCACACATCTGTGCGTAATCTGGTTTTTCATATAAATAATTGACTAATACAATTTTACAACTTCACTTGTTGCAAAAATTATAAAATTATGAGCAAATAGAATTTTAACCTTTGAAATATCTGCAATAATGACAAGAAATGCTAATATTCTTTTTTTTATGCAGTACTAGGGTTTGAACCTAGTGCTTTCCACTGAATTACACCTCCAGCCCTCATCTTCCTATTTTTTTTTTTTTTTCTGGTACTGGCATAGAACCCAAGGCATTCCCACTGAACTACGTCCTTGGCCCATTTTTGTTTTGTAATTTGAGACAAGGTCTCAATAAGTCATTAATTTGCCCAGGCTGGACTTGAATTTGCAGTCCTCTTGCCTCAGCCTCCCAGAGTGCTATGATTATAGGTTTGTGCAATATTCATAATTTTTGATAAGAATTTTATATTGTTAAAACTTTGCCACTTAGAGGAAAATGTTTAATTTTAAATAGCAGCTTGTTTTTGTATTATAGCTACAATACATACTCAGATGTTTCTGAGGATAATTGTTTTAAACAAGCATTACTTGCTTCTGTGAATTGTTTGTTTTTCCTGTGTTGCTTGTTCCAAACTGTTTTTTTCTGCTGGATATTCTATTTTTCAGCATACCTGCTAATACATTGTTTTGTATGATAAAACAATGTATGAAGGGCCTCCTTCTGTGGTAGAATAGTGAAGAGTCCCGCTTATGTCAGATGAGTTAGTAGATATCTATGTATTATGGTTCATTTCACTTATATAATGGCAGATACCTGCCCAAAATTATAGTGTGAAAAGGAAAATCATTGTGTTGTACATTATAGAACTTTGCTTTTGTTTTGAACTGACGTCAAGAATAGTGAATACCAAACAGTAGTTAGGGCTTTTCTTGTTTGAAAAAAGAAATAAGAAATATTAGTCTGACTACAGAAATACAAAAAAATGGAAAATCTCCTTTTTCAAAATGAAACTGTATTTTATAAATCAGAGAAACTGATAAAAATATTGAGTTTTATATGGTTAAAACATAGCCTTAATTTTATTAAATAAAATTTGAATTCAAGGAAGTATTTTTTTAGACCCTCATATAAGTCGAAAACTAACAGTAATTTGACCTGATTTTTAAAATTTAAGATTACTTGACCTCTTTAACAATCAACTTATTCCTGTTCTGAGAAAGCCATTTGATAAAAACAATTTCTGGGACTTTCTTTTCTTTCTTTTTTTTTTTTTTTTTTTGTCTTTTTGAGACAGGGTCTCTCTCTGCAGTTCAGGCTGGCCTTGAGCTCACTTTGTAGCCCAGGCTGGTCTTGAACTCACAATGATCCTCCTGCCTCAGCCTCCCGAGTGCTGGGATTACAGGCATGAGCCACCACGTCTGGCAATTTCTGGGACTTTTAAAATTTTAATTGGCTTAGTAGTTCAGATGGACTTTGAGTAGATTATACTATTCTGTGTTCTCTGGATAAAAGTTATATATTTAGTATGAATTATTTGTATAGTTTAGGTGTTCTGTTCTCTATTCTTATAGTTTAATTTTGTATTATCTGTTCATTGGTCTATCTTTTCTTGTCTTGAAGGAAAACCTAAATGTCAAACTGGTGGAAAATCTAAGAGGACAGTTCATGGCACTCATAAAATTGCTAAACAGGTAAAGCATATACAACTTTTGCTTATTTCCTTTTAATTGCAATTCCAAAATATATTATAAATTTGAAAAATTTAATTTTTCAGAATTTAAATATTATATATTTTAATATTTTATGTAAAAATTTAATGTAATTTCTTTTATTCAACAAATGTGTATATTGTATTCACTGTTTGCTAAACACATTACAAATATAAATTATTTGGCTCTTACAACAACCCGTTGGAGTAGGTATCATCATCCTGACAAGATGCTATTGTGAGTTTACAAAGATGATCTCCTCACACACAGAGACGGCAGTGGTAACTTTTAAAAAAATATCTTTTATCTTTTTTTATTTAAAAAAATTATTGTTGATGCCTCTGTTGTGGGGATAGGGTTTTTTTTGCAATGAAATGTTCATTAGAAATCCATCTTTCAGTCATATGAAGTTTTTGTTTTACATAAACACATACTAATGTATTTTTCATCTGTAGCTAATAAGGGAAACAAATATTCTGTTACAGTTAATTGGAGCTGGGGGCACAAACTAAATGGACAGAGCATCTAGAAGATTAAATCCAGTGGCATGAGGAAACCTGAATGCCCTGTTTGTGTGGGAAGCAGACTTGGGCTGATGGTGTGAAGCCTTAAGTTTTTGGAACGCTGTGCCCTAGGAAAACTGGAAGAGCTAGAACCTGCCTGGGCTGGTGGTCTGTGATAGTTGATATCTGAAGACAGTGCAGACTACACCCAGGAGTGACTGTAACTCATGACTGGGTCAGTCATAGTCCTAAGTGTAAAGTGCTGTAAGGCCCCAGTAAAAGACCTGTGCAGGGGGCAGCATAGTGGGCCAAATGATGATAACCATAAAGGTGAAAAAGGTAGAGAAGTAAAAATAGAAACTCAAACTCTGAATAAGTCTGCAAAATAAAATACTGAAACACAAGAAGTAAATGTAGACAATATATTCCACAAATAAAATTATTTATTCCTGAGGTACTGGTAAGAAAAGGACATTTTTCTAAAAAGGTCTTTCAAATAAATGGGCTTAAAGGAAAGAATGGCTGTAAAGCAAAATTGAAAAATTATGAAATAGAATGGGTGAATATTAATTTTTAACATTTAAAGATAAAAGTAAAGCAGAAATCTTGGAAATGATATCTTATCAGTGAAACATTGAAAACATACAATTAATGGAACAAATGATGTATTGGAAAAAGAGTACTGAAAGAATTTCTGAAGTAGAAGACATTGCTGGAGGAGTGTTTAGAATATAGCTTAGAGAACTAAAGAGATTGAAAATATGAAAGAAAATTTAGGATTGAGAAATTCTAATACATGTTTTCTAAAATTTTCAAATTCAAGTAGGCATGTCAGATACTTCCCTCATTTTCTGAGTTTTCAAGAGCTGCAGAACATAAATGGTGGAACTGAAGAGGACTGTTGTAGTCAGGGGTTGTACACTGAGAACAATTAGGATCAGGACATGGAGTTTATAATATTATTATTATAATGGTCACTGGGAGTTAACACAGGAAAATGCAGGAAATCTATCTGCAACACCAAAGACATAGATTATTTAGTCACGAGCCTAAATCCCACAGCAATGTCCCACATAAGTCCAGATAAAAACCCAGAGCTCAGGACAGTGCTTCCCACGAGTCCAACTGGAGGTCCAAAGCCCACAAGAAGGACTCATGCCAGTCTCTTTTTATGAATCTGTGCTGGGAAGACCCAAGGGTCAGTGGTGGAAGCCAGAAAGTCTATGTCAGCAGGATGAAGGAGCTGTGCTAGTGGGATGAGGGTTCTACGCTGGAGCCAAGAACTCACACAGCAAAGACCAGAGCTGTCCAGAAAGGCACCACAGCCATCCTCAGTGACACAGGCCCTGAGCTCCTCCAACAACAAGAACAGTCGGGTACATGCCAGGAAGCAGTGTGACGAGTTCATCCTGGAGACCAAGCAGCACACGTCTTTCCCTCCAGAACCAGGAAGCAATGCTTGATGTGAGGACCAGAGCTTCTCCAGGAGAACCAACGGCTCAAACAGCAACATGTAGGAGAACCCACAATGCTACAACGCCTCAACACTTCAACACCTCCCTTCTCCATCTATTTATCCTGGCAGCTTTCCTCAGGTGGAGCATCTTCACTCAATGCCATGCTGATGTAATCCAGGTGGCGTTAAGTTGACCACCAGTTCTTAACCCATAACAAGGACAAATAAAAATAGATGTATTCTAGAGAATTTTTATGAATCCAGAGTTAAGAGAATCTTTAAAGTTACCTGGCATAAAACCATAGAATAATGACAGGTTAATAGCAGTCTTATTTTTTTTTTTTTTTTGGTCTTTTTCATTTTTATCGGTACCGGGGTATCGAACTCACAACCACCTGCTTGCAAGGCAGGTGCTTATGCCGCTGAGTTAAATCCCCAGCCCCAATAGCAGTCTTATTACTGACAATGGAGTAGCATCTTCAAAGTTATGAGGCAAAATAATTTCTATCTCAGAATTCTATGCTTAGTCAAATGATCATTCATGTGCACGCATGAAATAAATCCATTTTTAGAAATACAAAGACCAAGTATTTTCCATTTTCGTATTCCATTTGTTCTGTTCTGGCAGAATACAACAAAAACTCGGCAATTTATAAACTCTAGGGTTTATTTGCTCATGGTACTAGAGACTACAGAGTCCAAGCAGAGAGGCCACACCTGATGAGAACCTTCTTGCTGAATCCTGGCATGGCAGAAGGTATCACATGGTGAGAAAGTACTGTGTGAATGCACGAGAGGAAGAGGGCTGATCTCATCCTTTAGACATACACCATTTCTCCATAACAAACCCAATGCCATGCCCGTGGCATGCATACACTCATGTGGGATCTTAGAGGCCCCCACCTCTCCACACATTGCTTGAAAGCATCACATTTCCTGCACATGGGTTTAGGAGATACATTCAGACTGTAGCCACCATTTTACAGACTCTTCAGGAAAGAGCTGTCCGAGTCGTACTTCACAAGAAGAAAAGGAAGCTTGGGAGCTTGATAAAAAAAAACAAAAAACTATAATATGTATTAACAAATCTTATGAACTATTGATGGATTTAAAAAAAAACTCAACTGAATTTAGAAAGGTGATACTACAACTGAATATAACTGTAGTAAATGGCATTTCTTAAGGAAAAGAATAAATGCAAGCAGTTAGAAAATTTTGACATTGCTGTTTATTTGGAAAGCTGTGTAAATGTGCTAGCAGTTACTTTGGTGCTCCTTTTTACTAATGGTCTGTTCATCATTAAAGTAACTTAGTGATGCGATTTAGCTCAGCAGCATAAGTGTCTGCCTGGCAAGTGTGAGGTTGTGAGTTCAATCTCTGGTACAAAACAAAACAAAACAAAACAAAACAACATCAGATTAACTGTAACAGATTACAGTAACTTTAATCTTTACTAAGGCTTATCTGGAATAAAGATTGACCTCATGAACCTGCCCCTTTTGTTTAAGGTGAGAAATTTGTTTTGGTAAAATCAATTATCATGTAAGCTGAAAAGTATTTTTAAGTATTTATGTTGAAAAATGGACTTTGTGTAAAAGTGCAGTCCCTGGGAACACTTGTATTTATATATTTTCATGTTTTATTTTATTTCACCAGAATACTGCAGTAGACTGTAAAATAACATCTGTAACTGGAGATAAAAACTTTGATAAAAGTCCCACTAAATCAAGACACCCTCGGAAAATTGATCTAAGAGCTCGATACTGGGCATTTCTTTTTGACAACCTTCGCCGGGCAGTGGATGAAATCTATGAGACTTGTGAATCAGATCAGAGTGTGGTGGAATGCAAGGTCAGGATGCCTTGGGATTTCGAATCCATTCAAGTAATATCCAACATGATTATTTACCTCACTTCTTATTAGTCTTAATAATAAATTCTGTATGTTTTCCATTTCAGTAATTCTTATGAGACCTTGTTCTTGGATCTTTACATTAAAATCGATACTATGCTTGAGGTTTTCTTGACTGTGAAGAGTGCTTTTTTGTTTTGTTCTTGGAATGAAGTACTAGATATTTTCATGTTTTATAAAATATTTGGTAAAAAGCACTCTTGATACATAGTCAAGGAAAGAGTGAAAGGGTTCTCTACACAACACACACAGTGGCAGTTATTTTAAAAAAATTTTTGTTATCTGTTGTTTTCCATTGTTACTGTAGGTGGCAGTAGTGAGATTTTCACATTCTTTGGGTTCATGTTTAATGTCTTCAGCTGGACATTGCTTCTTTTCTGTTGAGATACTTATCATTCTAATTTACCCTGGTCAGGGAAAAGTGAAATTGATGGCTAACCATAAACAATCCTGGGTGGGATTGGGATGTCATTGTAAGGTGTGTTTTCTAATTTTAGATAAACTTGCATTTGTAATAGGATATTAAACAGACACGGGGTAGTCTATCTAAAAATTCAGTAAAAAGCTTGGCTTTTCATAAATACAAACTATATGTTATATTGCTTTTCATTGAATGAAATTATTTTGAGAAAAATCAGAGTGATTCATGGAATTATTAAAGAGATTATTTGTATTTCAATAGTAAACATGATTGAAAACTCTGAAATTCATTATTTAGTATTTGAAATATATAAAAGGTCAAAGAAAAGTTACACATTGAGACAGCAGCTGTGTTTCCTCTTAAACTGGAAACAGCTAAAATAAGATTGGTTTGAAAATATGATTCATCAGAAGCAAGTTTCAAAGTGAACAGTAGTTGGAATAGATAATGTTGTTACTGTCAGTCTGTAAAAGTTTTATGTTTTAAAAAAGATTTTTAAGTAAAATCATATTCTTGAATTATAATGTTTCTGTGTGTTGTTGTAGAAAGCATTACAGGGTGAGGTCTGAATTATTTGAATTGTAGAAAGCATTACAGGATGAGGTCTGAATTTTTTGCAAAAAAATGAGCATATGGCCCTAGGTAATCTCTAGATGAACCTTAGAGATAATCACATTACCAGAGATTTTGATTTTTGTGATTAAAAATAACAAGGGTGACTAAAGAAGTCAAATTTGTTTGGAAAATGTGTGCTTCTTGGAGAAAGGGAACGGAGTGGCAATGGTGTCTCCTGATGAGCAGACTGTTAATCTGCTTCAAGAGGGGAAGCTGGACATGGCCTTGAGAAAGGAGGTTTGTTTCTGGCTTCAGCATTACTTGTTACCTAAAGCTCTGTGAAAGCTTAACAGTCATAGAAATGTTCTGTGTAAGTTGTTTGCCAAGATGCTCAGAGGCTTATGTTGAGAAATTAAATATGGGAATGTAAAAGTTATTTTTGTTTTCTGTTTTACTCTTTTGACCCTCTGGAACTTACAGGTGGTGATGTGAAAGATAGAGCTTAACGTATAGACCAAGTACATGCTGGGAAGATAGTAACTAGTGCTCCTTTTTCGTTTTTGTTTCATTCTGTGCTTATTATCAAAACACCACCATCTGTTGTCTCTCTTGGTTAGAACCTTCACAGGATATATAACTCAGGAATTTTTCCTCATTTTTCAGGTGATTTCAGCCCTTATTTTGGTGATGCAATGAAAGATTTATTTTCATGTATGATTTTTGTGTTGTAGCCTTAATTAAATAATCACAGTTCAATTTTGTGCCTCATATGTAAAATGCAGTTAATAACATTTATTGTATGTGGTTCATATAATAAATGTAGCATGACAGTGCAGAGTATCTTGTTGTGCAGCATTACTGGTCAGAGCCACCTACTGGTTTGTGAAGTTCAGGGGTATGGCTCGAGGAAGGGGAGACCTGTGCTTTTATTGATTTACTGTGTCTGCAACAGTTAAGAGACGTGAGAGGAAAGAATGCTGGGAACATACTTTACTTTTCTTTCCGTTTCCCATTTTAGCCTATGGGGAACTAGACGTGTATTTTTGGAGGTGTGATGATATCCTTAGATACACATTGTGTGTATCCCCTGTGTCTTAGAGATTTTATAGCACACTAAGCTCACTTATTTCCCTTCTATTCTAAGAACAAAAACAAAACTAACCATAAACTATTTCTCTACTTTTCCTTTTTGTCTCCTTCATTTTTCTTCTTTTTTTCTTAGTCAAATTTCTTGGTAGAGTTTGCTATATTTTTTACCTCTGTTTTCCTACTTCCCTTGTACTCATTAATCTGCTCCTTACTGGTTTTGTGTCTTGTTGAAGCATCTGTAGGTACTCCAAAGGTCATTGCTCATGTCTGCAGTGCTGAGTCCAGTGAGTGGTATTCAGTTTCTCCAACCATCTCTGAGCATCATGCATATTGCTGACCACTCCCCTCTTTTTACAGCAATCTCTCCTTTGGCTTTTCCATATTGCCCTCTGCTAAGTTTTCTTTTTCCTTTTTGGCAGCTACTTCTGCCATCCTATAGTCTTTCCTTTTTTTGCCTAACTTTTAATTTTTGGGAGGTCATTGTGCCTCATTTTAGACTACATTCTTGACTCACTAATTTAAACTTTTTTCCTCTGTGTTCACTAGACAATGGGTTAATTTGCAATTTGCTTGCTGGTGATTCATAAATTTATAACTAATTTCTGATTTTCAGAGCTGTATGTTCATCTTGCCTACCTGGCATCTCTACTTAGATATCTAACAATTTTTTTAGTTGCCATATCAGATGTGATCAAACAGTATGGAGTAGCCAGGTGTAGTGGCATATGCCTATAATCCCTGCACTCAAGAGGCTGAGGTAGCAGGATCACTATGAGTTTAAGGCCAGCCTAGGCTACATGGTGAGTTTAAGGCCAGTCTGAACTATATAGCAAGACCCTATTTCAAACAAACGGTATAGAGAATGTTTACATTTAAATTATGACAGTAAAAGACACATTGCCATTAATCCCCCTCAGAATGCTCCTTGTCACTTTGAACTTACTTTTCCCATTGTTCTTGCCACTTTCTTAAACAGTTCTGGAAGTCCTTTTTTATGAGTGTCATTAGTTGCACTGTTAGGCTGCCATAATGTCCTGAACCAGTTCAACGCATTTACCCTTTATAGTCATATTGACTTCAGCAACAAGCTAGAAGTTGCATGGTGCCAGATCTGGTGAATAAGATGGATGAGGATACACTAATGTTTTTATTTGACAGAAATTTTTATAAATATTTGATAACTAGGTATGATCAAAACATGTTGTGAATGTTTAAATTAAAATTTTTTTACCGTAAAAGATACTTTGCCATTCGTCTCTTTAAGATACTCAAAATACTGTCACATTTACTTATCCCATCTTTAAAGCTGGGAAACATATCTTGTCTCACCCTTCATGTCATGAAGCCATTGTCCAGTAAATTTATTTCTTTCATCATTTTTTCCTAAATCGTCACAGTCCTTCCAATCATCATGTTTTCTGATGATACCATCCCAGTTCAGGCTGATGATAGAATACTTGGATCACCACTGAATTGGATTCCCTGCATTCTATCCACACATTCTTACAAATGGATATAGGCAGAATGATAGCTAAATAAGCAAAAATGTGCCTCTCTTATTCCTTCAATTATAGATCTTCAAAGGTTTCCTTTTGCTGAATGTACTGGCACACATTTGTAATCCCAGAACTCTAGGAGGCTGAGGCAGAATTCTAACTCTGAGCCTAGCCTTCACTAACTTAGTGACTTAGTGAAATTCTGTCATTGTCTTAACATTAATAGGTATATTTTCTTCTCTCTGTATCTATAGCTGCTCTTCTTAGTCTTATTCCAGCTATTTACTCTCTGCTGTCTGCCTCATTTTAGACTACATTCTTGACTCACTTAAAGGCTTAAAATAAATTTTATGGGCTTAAAATAAAGTTTTGCTTAAAATAAATTTTGTAGGCTTAAAATAAAGTTTTGCTGTTTGATTGGTCAAAAAAATCAATTTCTCCTAGGCATATAGTTTTCCAAAACATTGTTCTGGGTTCTTAGGTTGTAGACATAACTGAACTGCCATTTTTTAGTCTATTTAACGTAACATTTAATTGACAATTTTTATTAAATCTGATCCTCATATATATTATCATTACTAGAACATACATTTTTTTCCCTTTTGGATACTACTTGTGGCTACAATTGCCATGTCACAGCTACTATGGGGATTAACCCAGCTTAATTTGTCTGGGCTAACTTCCTAATTATGGTAACTTAATTTTAGGATTTTGTTATGGTTTGAATATGGATGTCCTCTCAAAACCTCATGTAGTCATGAGGTCAGGCTTCTGGAATTTGTGATTAATTCATGGTCCAATTCTGGAATGATAGGTGTGAGTGCTATACTCAACTTGGAGTGAGCGTGGCCTACAAACAATGTAAGGGACAGAAAGAGTCTTCTCTACGTGCTTCTCCTTTTTTTGATTTTGTTGCTTTTGCTGTCTTCCACTGCCATGAACCATTGCCCTCTGCATGTGTCACTCTGTCTTGGAGCCTGTTGAATATGGACTGAAACCTCCACAAACTGTGAACTAATAAACTTTTCTTCCTTAATTTTGGGTATGAGATATTTTGTCTCAGCAATGAGAGAAAAGTAACCAACATAGAATTTTACTTTTAAACTATTTCTTACCAGTTTCTTTGTTTCTCTAGATGAAACATGTTTTCTTTTTTTGTCAAATGCAAAGTTTCTATGCATTCATTTTGTGTGTATATGTATGTGTGTTCATATTCACAAACCCTTTTTTCTAGTGTCTATACATTGCTTTTTGAAGACTCATTACTTTGCTAATCTGTTGTCCTTTTTATGTCTCCTCTAGTTTCTTTTTTTTTTCTTTTTATGGTCCTTCTTACTGATGACATTAATCTTTTGAAGCACAGTTCTAATTATATTATC